CCAAACATCGAAGCTTTGTCTAATAATCTCAGTAATGCTTAACCCTATTTTTATCAGAGATAGGTTCTTGGCTAGGGGATCCTCTGTCGATTCATTGTTTGAAGCTAGCATTATAGATTGCTTGTTCGAATTAAAGCACCTGAATCAACTAGTAAATCCAATCGCATCATCCCGGCATTACCAATCGCCGCCGTCATCGTCACGTAGCAAGGATAGCAGTACGTAATTGAAGTCTTCGTCTTTTAGCTAAGGAAGTGACTAGCCACTTAACAATTATTCTTCCTTTTTGAATGAGAGAGAAGTAATCGTCAGGATGTTACAGCCGAAATTCATTGGACGGAAGCAGTTCTCGCCACTGCAGAAGCAGTATCCACTACGCAGGCAAAGCAGAAACGGCCCGAAGCTAAAGCAATAGGCGTCTTGGACTTTTGATCGACACATGGCTAGCCAACTGCTCAGTAACTAATTAGCTAGCTACTACAACGACGAATACTAGATATCATTAAGATTTGGGTCAGTAAGTTCTCCAGCGTCAAAGCCACCTGCATAAATGCCGTTAAGTCGTCTCCTTCAGTCCGTGATGCTACGGCAAGCGATGTTGACACCAGCGTGCACTTATGAAGCACGTCTTTAATCCGGAGAAAAACTAGGAGACAACACCACGACAACGAAAACTGGTGGAGGATCCCCACTTTTGGGGGCCGGATCCATTCCGTATTCATCCGGAGGTATCTGGTCCCCTAGTGGTGAAAACGCCAGCAAAAATCAAAACCGTAACTACCGTAACGGAGCATTGGCCTAAGTCGAAAGTTCATTCTAAGGTGTAAAGATACTGAGAGGTTGTTACAGCGGACATCCTGCTATTATCGTTCACTCGCATGAGCAGAGCCAAAAGCTCCCGCCTCTATTGACCGCCGTTTTTAGCTTTTAGACGGCTCAGGTCGCTTGCTTGTTTGCATACGTTAGCTATCTCACAGCAGTTATCGTTGAGCAAAACATTATAAGTAAAATCAAGGCGCCGACCAACCAAGTAGACTGATTCCACTAGCGAGTAGCTCATCAAAAGGGAGTCATTTAGGAAGAAAGATCCTGACAGTAACGTGGAAGCAAGCTTTAGTACCGAAGACGTAATCATAAATGATACGAGGTATGAACTTCCATCAAATTTACCTCCTAAGAACTTACCTACAATAGCCGATTAAAACTTATGGCTGTATTTAAATAACGGATAAAAATATTTACTGAACGCTTCGGTTCTTTTACTAATGTGTTAAACAGAGCAAAAAAGCCTTTAAGGTTGTGCCTTAAGTAGGAGCAGAGATGCTGTGCATATATTTCGCGTTGGTACATCGATTGTTATCATTTCCTCCCAATGCAGTACTAACTTATGCCGTAAGTTTTCACAGAAAATTTTTAGTAGATTTGAACATGTCGAGATATATTCGTAGTCGAACCGTATTCAGATTCGCAATTGTTCGTACAGATGACATTCATCATCGTCAGTATAGAGAACAAATTATATATATAACAAATTGTACGAACATAAATTGTTATTAAAATTAAAAACGTTTTCTACAAAAGACTGTACTCTTATAACTGGGAAACGCAGAATCGGTTTAATCGTGAGATTTTTATTGACTCCATTATAATAGTAGCCAAGATATATCCACGGAACCGATATCTTGGTAATATTTGTTCACTAAGCTCAGCAGAAAGCATTTGCGTAAAGGTACGCATAAATCAGCCATCTAAGAAATACTTTTTATGCATATATTTCTGAAAAACGATTCTGTAGAAGCAAGCGATCGATAGATTTTTTTAGAATAGAATTTAAAACTTGTGTGAACGAGCTCCTTGACAAAAATAGGAGACTTCAAATGACCTCTTTAGTCACATCTATACATACGAATAATGTAAATACAAGTTTCAACTCATCTAAAAAAAGCCGATGCAAGCTTAAAGGATTATCTTCAGTTTCCCGTGAAATTATGTCAATGCCATTTTTGTCTGAACGGTTCATCCGTTTACTTTTACAACGATCTTTCTTAAAATCAGTGATGACCCACTGAGGTGCAGCGATAGTACCTATCAGTCAGCAGAATTTACACGTTTAGGTTGCGTGGTACGGTCATTGGCGAAACCTAAAGCAGCAACCTATGGTCTCTTTCGATCAGGACGGCGGCCGTTGATAGCACAAATTGCAGATTCAAGTTGATTTTTGAAATTCTGATTCCATTTTGACGTTCGGTGCTTCTATTAATAATTTTGCCACTCTTGCAACGTATTTGGATCACCAAAAATTGGGCTGTTCCTAACAGGAAATCTCAAGACGTTTGTTATATATATATATATATTAGGCCGTTGAACTACGCATTGCTGGAAGACGAAATGTGTACTTTTTGTGTCGGCGTACGATCTGCATGTGTAACTTGTTGAACGAAGTAATCTCATGATTTTTGAACTTAAAGCAAACAGAGCGTATGTTTTTGTTGACGACCAAGCTGTCAACGGTGCCAGCCACAGAGCTGTGCATAGCGAGAACAAAACATCACCGCGCAGCTTAACATCCAACAATATCCATAGTTGATCTGCTTTCTAACAAGTTCAACAGGTTAAAAGTTCTCTGTTCCGTGGGCATCTATGTTAAATGCATTTTTACTACTATTACTATTATAAAGTCGAAAGATCAGGTCGAAGATATCGAATAATTTTTATTAGCCTTTTGATTAAATGTGGGTCTGCGCTTTCCGTGGTGGATATACAGTTCTTCACACAAAGTGCCGTTCATTTAACACAGAACAATATCATATAATCGTGATAAATGCAATCCACTGAGTACATTCCGATTGCGAACTTACACCAGCATATGGACATCTATCAATTCCTTTTTGATAACATTTTATCCAACAATAGGAACTGATGTATTTACGCGAAATATAGGCACAATTAACCCTCTTGTTGCGCATTTTACGTCCGGTATTGCCGTTGGGCATTCCATCAGACGACTGGCTCCCAGTACAAGCCCGGCTATACCCGGGTTCGGACCTATATCATTATGATAATATGTTCCTAGGATTAGTAGGCAAATACGTTATCCACTAGGCTATTACACGGACAAGCACAGCCTTTACTAAAAGCCTTCCTCAGTGTTTCGAATTTTTATTATCCATACTGCGTTATAACGTGATGCCATTGGTCGTACAATATTAGACCACTATAGAATCTTAGTAACTAAGTTATTATATTAATAACAACGAAAATCGGCATATAAATATATATAAACAAGAACACTAAAATGACCACGATGGCCAACCGCAGAGGAAATTCAAAAGTTACCAACGTTTAATTCAACAATCTATTGTTGCGATTATAAACTACGACTGTGAGACGATTATAAAATGAAAAATATATGAGCGATGAAATCTAGAAAGAGGCAAAGCTTACTCGAAGAATTGCGTACTTACGCGTGTGGCACTTATCTGAATGTGAGTCCACGACGCATAGCGCCTCGATGGGCGGTAACGGCCCTTTTGAAATTATGTATTATAATTATTAATTATGTGGGAGTTCTCCTTGAGCGGAAATTTTTTACATGACTTCCATAGTCGCCATGAGCATTACATGGTATACGTAAGCATATACATGAAAATGCTCTATCATTAAACAAATGTCGTCACTATACTAGAACCTCATGATTAGTATAAAGGCACCATTTGTGGCGTCTGAACTGTGCGCTAGCTATCTCTCAGACTTTTCTTTTTTCTATTAATTCACCAGGCATAGGAGTAATGTTTAAAAGTTAAAATGGTTTTGAATTTTGGCATTTAATTATCTAAGCGAAGTTTCCAACATTAAACTTATTTATTTTACTGATAATTTTTTAATTCGATTAAATTTTTGTTTTAATTACTACTGTTGTCGAATAAAGTTGTATAATCTTGAAAAATCAACTTGCATTAGGGGGTTTTGCCTACCATAGTCTTGTAGTTGTAGGACATGGGCAATCAGGCAAACATTCGCTGCTTGATTGTCCATTGCATATGTTATTAAAGGGATAGTTTTATTATTGTCGTTGCCTTCTGTTTGCGACTGTTACTCTGCAGGCGTCGCTACGGCCATCATAATAATGCTGATTTCATTCAAGGCCTGTAGGCAATCGTTAATCTGTAGCAGTGCAGTTTTTCAATTTTTGTTTTTATTGTCATCTTTTTTTTTTAATTGTCATTGTAATGAAAAATGAACGCTGAGAGGGAACTACGAAAATCGACGTACGTACGTCTACTGAAGCGAACGAGCATTGGCGGTTCAGAAAACAGTAAGCGAAACGAGTGGGTCAAGTGGGTCCTTCTTTCGATAATAATTCAACGGTGTAAAAGTAAAATCAGCTGTGATGAATTCGTCTCAATATATATATATATATATATATATATAGTATAAAATAGCGCTTAGCAAGCTTATTACTGGAACACGCCACAGACGAAAACACACCTTTTTTTATTTTTGGGGACCTTTTTAAATTTTATGGGGTTTATTAGGAGCAGTAGTAAATTAAGATGTAAACCTAATAAAGGGTGCTAATTTTTCTGAAAAATTCTTGATATAACAAAGTATGAAAGGCAAAACAGGCAGATTTTGGATCACATTAAAAACGGCTTTTCACCTCGTAATACGGCCGAAATCAGTGCGCCCGTATATTAGGTGCAAGTCTAGAATGGTATCATTATATCACCTATGAAAGACGTGCACATGAATTGGCCTGACAGACTTTAGCTTAGCTAACTAGATCAAGTGATAAAGAAAAAAATGGTGTAAAAGTCCGTCATAGTACCCAGCTGCCGCATTAAGTAGGTCTGATTTTTAGTATAGAGCCAGCATGCTTTCCAGAGGGTGCTGAAATGTTCATCGTCTAACTACACGTGGGAATTTGTTTTTATGGAACACTTTTTCCCGATATATTTTCATTGAGTGATACACAATTCCGTCGAATGCAATCGACTTACCCTGGCGATGCGCGGGTCACGAAGGTACTCCATCCTTTTGCTGAACTTTGCTCCTCCAATGATGACCCTCTGTGTAGTCGATCTGAAATGAAACGAATTATTTGAAACTAAGATATATATGCAAGTCCTGTTTTAATTATTATCAACGTCTATTTATGCAAAAGCTCTTGTTTCTACACGCAGAAGGCCCCATGCCATAAACTTCCGGTCGCGCGTTTAATTTTGATCCAAAAAAATAAAGATACATCCTTTTTTCCATAACCGAAAGAGGCACAACCAAGAACCGCCCATATTTACATCCACATTTCCACAATCATAATTCTAAGACATGATAAAGATTGGTTACAAAAAACGTGCAAAGATAATATCATTTTCCACCTAGAATCTTTGCACGGACGCCGTGACAGGATGCTTTTGCCTAGAGTGAGCTCGGGAAATAAGCGTTCAATACAACCAACTCCAATTGTCTGTCTAACCGAAACGACGTCTTGATAACTATCGTGTCCTAAATCCGAAGAACGTGGAGACAAATAACTAGGCAATATACGGTCCTAGCTATTTTTGGATCGGCATTAACGCTGAATCTACTAGGCAACTCCGATATGTAACTAGTAGGCTACCAAGCTTTCAGGCTTTCCAGGTCTTCAAGTGATACTCTCGAGTTTTTGCTGTGTCAGCTTTTTATTCTATGGAGTACACGCTTTTGATGCTGAACCTGCTTTTAATACAAAATGCCTAACTTGATAGTATTATAATACTAATAATAGTAGTTATAATGTTGTTATGATTATTATAAGCACATAAACAACAGAAACACCTATATAAACAGATACAAACAAACGTAATGTAAACGCACTTCGTTCCTTTAGTCTGATGATCAACTGGAGTTTGACAGAATGAATATATCCTATAGAAACGCGGCAATTCTATAGTTAGCCACTTCTATTAATGGTTAAACTGAACAAAAAAAAAGTTGATTTATGCTAGGCAAACATTTTTTTTCCACTCTAAACACCACTGTAATGTTGTTAGTATTTTCTGAAGACACTCAAGCGTTCGGTCTGCCTTCTAGGTGACGAAATACAATAAAAACAATTAGTTCGTGTCTGATATTTGACATACACAAAGATGATGTTTGCTTTTTTATTGTATTTCGCCGTTGATGCAATTACTGCCGATTTAAGTTATACTATGGTTTGAGTCAGTTGCTTGAAGACTGATGCTATAAGAGCTTGCAAAGTTTTTGTAATTTTAGTTTTAAGCAAGAATAACATTATCACTTTGTCATCACTTCGGGGTGTCTGATTTTTCGACTCAACTGTATTGGTATGCCGATAACAAGTTGTAAAAAATTTCAAATCATGTTTAGAGCTGTTATATATATATATATATATATATATATATATATATATATATATATAATCTTATAGAGAAGATTTTCTTGGATGATTTCATGCACACCTGTAAAAATATAGCATATATTTTACTGTTATCATTAGGGGCGCCTGCTTGACGTGAATTTATTAACTTATGTCGAAGCATGGGACGGCTGACAAAAAACAGGTCCATTACTACTACCCATTTATTATTTGTTAATTTTGCCTGTATGCACCATGTAGTAAAATTAAGTTTATAATGAATCTAATAGCGTGGCTACCTTCACCAAATGCCTCAAGTAAAAAAAGAGAAATCAAAGAATTAGCATTTTACACTCCCGTAGGTTTCTAATATCATATAGAAGAGCGTTCAACCATAACCGACTTCTATAACCCAACAACTTTCTTAGAATCAGAAGTCGTGTCTAATAGGTTTGATTAACTCAGCAGAGCTTAGTTTTGCTTTTGTTTTTTCTAGACCGCCTCAAAGCTCAGCGCTAAAAGGATCTTGTTCCTATTTCCCGCTGCTATTCAACGCCATTGGTGAGTCTTTAGAGAGAGTTCTCTTGGGGCAGTTACGGACAAGTCTGGAACGGCCTTTCAGCACAACGTTTTCTCGTTTCAGAATTACTTCTACAGTCGAACGTAACTCCAGCGAAATGGTTAGGCACGCTACGATAGACCCTGATGATGAATCGATAATCCTCCAGCAAATAGCTTTTTATACGTTTTCATCTGTACAGGTTGCTACTGTAGGTTACTTAGGACGACAAGCTTTGTTTTTAAGGCTCTCTTGTCTACTTCGAAACTGTTGGTACATTACTCATGGACTAATACTTGAGACTCCTGTAACTTTGGCGCCATGTGCGAGCATTTAGTAACATAGAATAGTGTCCATACTTTTTAGCACTCATACCGCTCTCATTTTTTTTTTAAATGAAAGGTCTTTGAGAAGAAAACTTTGGCAAAGTGAAAATCATACGTTCCGATGCCTTTTTTGGCCTGTCGATAGCAAATATAATGGACAAGTGTCGCGTCACAAGTCCAACAACGGGTCGGCCTTTAGAAGACAAGGGATAAGTGCAAGCGTTTTATCGATAACAAATTCATCAGCATGTAAATTTCGCCGTAGGTTAAATCGTTCCTTTTTAGTATTTTTCTCAAGTCAGTTAGCAGCACTCACAACCATAAGGAGTTAAGGGCTCACAGCGCGCCAAATGCTTCAGTTGAATGCTAAGGTTGCCACCTAAAACGTACCACAAAGCACACGGAAATTAGAAACTCAATCTACTTGGTATCAAATTAGTACCCAACGCCTCTGCCAACAGGTGAAAACATTTTTTCAACTATCAGAAATCGACACAGTTATTATTCCTTTTCAATAATTGATTCTCACAGTTGCTGATCATAAACACCAGAAATAGCACAAGACGTATTCGATTCAAGTAGTCACCTACTGTGTAAGGATTATTTCTCATTATTATTGTTATTAAAGGATTGTTATTAGTGAGGGCGCTCGAAGCTTCCAAAATGCCGTTCAATATTCACATAGTAGTAAAAAGTAACTAACTACTAAAATAAGTCGTTAAATATTACTTTTTAGCAAAATAATAATAGCATAATAGCAAAAAAAAGTAAATCGGCGACCTTTTACTGGTACTCTCAACCATTACTGGTAGTAACATACATCTATATACATAACGGAACTAAATCTTGTATGTTTATATATATATAAGCCATACAAGATCTAGTTTTGTTATTTTCAGAGCTCTACCGCTGTGAAACGTGCTTACAATTTAACTAACTGAAGATCTAGTTGGCTATTATTATCACCAGCCGGTACCTGTCAATAGAATAATTTCGAATCGTTCGTGTCCTACACCAGCGTATTTTATCAATGTTAGGTGTCATTAAATTGATCGTCGTATTTTAATTTGCAACATCAACCAACACCACTAATTCGAATGGGCAACCCACCTGCATGAGCAGCTGCTGCAGTTTTCACACGAATCCATAATATTATTTCCATTTTCTTCTTTTTGCGTCGATGGGGTATTTCCCATCGCGAAACACATTCGAAACATCTGTAGCCACCTGCACCGGGTACTACGTTTTGAAGGAAACGCTAGCAGTATATGGAGGGGACACTGTATAGCTAATCCAAACAAAAGTGGAACGAAAACGCGGCGAAGAACTTTCACTGAACGTTCCAAATTTGTACGTACAGTTTCAACAGGACCTCGATCGTCTGTATTTGTTCCACTTGCAACCGGACCTTGCTGTGATCAGATACGGCCAAATATATCCAAAAACATGGTCGTTAATAAACAGATATCAGCAAGATTGTGTCGAGTATTACAGCAGCTTCACCGCGAGTAACAGAAATCTTCATCGAATTACGTCCAGCCGGTTTATCACTGTTCAAGAGTGATGTGTTTAACCTACGAGTTCCGTTGATGCTCTACCGGCAATATAACCAATGTTAAATTCGCCAGTTTCAGTCTACATAAACACCTCCATCTTTGATACTACTGCTACCTACTAGAGCATCAATGGTCTTGTCTCACACTCACAAACACTTCCTTGTAGCGCACGGCTAATTTCAGAGCTGTGCCGTAAAGGACCTGTCCTAGCCACCGTACTTCATTCGATTAAAGCTAAGAGCTAGAAATTTCAGCTGTTTTGAGTGCCTTGGAGTCGCCCAGTGCAGATTTGTTGCCAGTAGCAGTCAAACGGTCGTTTACGTCGCTTGGGCCTGCAGCAGAAGTAGCAAAGTGGTACAGACAATGTAATACAAGCACAAGCAAAACGTCCCGTAGTTGCCACTCGTAGTAGTGATGATTCAGATCGCTACGGCCGCAGTGTTCGTGGAGTGGGTGCTCCGCCTTTTTTCGCTCCTGCTGCAAGAGGCGAGAAGAATTGTCGGGGAGAGCTCATGGGAGCGCGACCGACGATATTTCACCCTGCCCTTTGCAGTTTTTCAGAGCTGTTCCACCGCGACTAGCCACTACCTTACGGCAATTTTGGCATGAGGCTGGGAGCGAATTAATAGGTGCGGTGGCGGCGATGGCAACGGTTGGGTCTGCTGCTGGCGACGCGAGCGGTCCATGCCTCAGTTCTTCGCCTGGCAAGGAACGTCACCATTCTGATGTAAATTAACGTGGCTCACATCTAGAAGAGAGGAGAAGAACTACGCCGCCAAAACGGAGGCACATGCATCGATCGGACGGACGATGTAGGGAGGGAGAGAGAGAGGGGGAGTGGATCAAGAGCGTTTTTTAACGATAACTTCAACTTCGTCCGTTCAAACGTTTGCAAACGTGAGAAGCTTTGACAGTAGTCGAAGCAGTGGGCCGCGGCTAGCAGTAGCAATCTTGTAGTTGGAAAAACCTATCTGCGAGCGAAAGCGCCGAACTACTAGACAACCTGCGCGGACGTTTCGGCGCCGATCACTGTACCTTGGATATATCGTCATATCAACACGAGTGGACAGCGTCAGCTGTCATAACATTCACAACATTAGCAGTCATATCTAAAATAGAGGTAATTGTGAACGTTGGTTGGATAAATAATAATGGTTGGATAAATCCAACCATAGCAGTCTGAATTGGTAAGAGACGTAAAAGCAAACAACAGATACTTTAATGGAATTAAAACACAGCCAGCGCTCGAGTGTTTTCTGGCCGCCGTTTCCAATGAACCGATATCTATGGTAATTAGACATGTTTAATAGTCGGTTCTCGTTCGTCTTTGTTAGTTATGAATGAGTGACCAGGAAGGCGACGTAAAAGATGGAAGCGGAAGACCGCCAGAATTCCGATATTCCTTTGAGATGACGCCGCAAATGAAGCTGATAAAACTGACACGAAAGAGGCGAATGCCAATTATAGACACAGCTTGTAAATAAACCGTAAAGGCAATTTTGTGGTGTACTAGATCAAAGTGGGTCAGATAGAGGGCGATGCTTTGACTTTACAGTTAAAAAATTGGCAAATTTGCCCGCTAAACGAATGCGAAACCTAGACAAGGGCGTTCTCACCTTAACTAACCGATGATGTTTAGCTATATAGATTATTGACTTATCAAGGTTGAAAAACGCGTCCGCAGCGAATAGTCTAAGGCAGAGCCAACGAAGAGAAATTTATAACAGCTATGGGCTCAGTCATGCAGAGTTAAAAAATTAGGGTTCCCTGTAAGGTGAGGACCCTAGCATGATACTAAGTTCTATGAAATTATATTTTGTATAAAAAGCAAGGTATATCAGCTGTATTTCCGCTAAGTCATGCCTTGATATTTTTCAGGCTATGGTCTAACTACTAACATCCAGCCGGAGTTCCCATGGATTTCCGGTCATTTCCAAATAATTACGAGAAGTCTACCAAGCTAAAGAAATGAGAGAAGCGTGTTACGACATGTATATCCCTCAATATCCAGTAGTTACAAAAATCCTGGCTCAATGTAATTTAGAAGGTCACTGCGCGGAAATTTCGTCATAATACGGGAATGGCGCAACCAACGTAATTAACAACCCTTCGAGTTGAAAAAAACTTTTCACTTGTAGCCCTTACGCGTATTACTGTGTCATCGATTATAGCAATGGTATTGGCAAAATTGCCGGACATGATTACCTTATTTTGGAAAACAGAAATCCAGTTTCGGCAATGCCTAATGTTGTTTAGAAGGTTGCTGCTGTGGAAACGTAAAAAACCAACGGCATTGCTGAAGGTTCATCTTAGCCTAGGAAAAAAATCAATTCTATTCGTAATTGATAGTAGTTTATTATTTTTGTTTATTATTAACCACTCGCCAAAGAATCATTTTCACGCAGATCTTTGACAGCGTGTTCATACACACACATTAAAGTCCAAGTGTGAAATCAGACAAGATAAAAACACATTATTGCTGAAGACGTGCGGTAAGTGTGACTCTTCCTGTTATAGGTTAACATCAGGTGTAAGTTCACTGAAAATTTTTAATTATTTCGATTTCTTGTTTGTGACCACTTTATGGAGATGGTACTGAATGAACGCGGTAGACAACCGTACCGCTTTCATAGAAATGGCGGCATTTCACAAATTAGCGAAATACTTGTTTGCCTTAGTAGCTCCTGTGTAAGTAAATTCATCTTCTGTCATCGTTAACATTATGATTATTATATAACTATTTCGCCAACACTCATGCGAGTCAACACCGTTAACTACTACATTAATCTTCGACATTGCCACATGTGTCTGACGATCAATACACACAAAACATTTCAATACTAATATATTGAATCAACGAAAAAAGATGATTGCAATTTACGAAACTACTACTTTTTTCGGCGCGAAATAATCCCCCAGCGGTCGGACCACTATCAATGGCAACATAAAGAGCCCTGTGACCAAGTCAGGTTTCCTACAAGAACCCTATATCAATATATTTTTTCTAAACTGTGGCAAAAAACACTGGTCCCCAACGCACGTCGCTCAAACGTTCGTGCCAGCTCGTCAACAAATTTACCTTTTTTAGCAATTGGAGTTACCATCATAAACGCTAGCTTGTTGTGTTTATCCCAATACGACGATTAGTGTCAGTTAGCCAGCCATCACCCAAAGCACACGGAAGTCTTGACGCAAACCCATCGATTCCTATTATTAGTGGTGCTATACTTTACTGTTTTCGCGTCCCTGTATCGCCATATTGCGGGCACAGAGCAAACGCTAAACACGACCCTGCTATCCGTTACCAGCCGCTGTCATCACGAGTGACAACGTTGGAGCAGGGTCGTCATTGTTGTCGGTACGGAAACAACTGATTAACGTTTTCCAATCGGTGCCGCACTCTTTGGCGGCAGGACGAATTTCAACCATTTTTTGGCAACATCCCCGAATATAAGACCCTGCCTCCGTTTGACCACCCCCTTCTGAGGCTCCTAGTTACATCACAAATACCATTATTTCTTCGTCGTCGTGTCGTTTGCACTTGTGCAAAAGGCCTGCTGTGTATATGCGTTTATTGCGTGACGAAGAGTATGTTGGAACAAGCGAAAGAGAGCTTAAGTAATGAGCTTTGCTTGCTATTGGTAGAGCCGACCATTTGTTGGGCTTTGATAACATATCCAAAGTGGACAAAGCTCGTTCCATACAACACGATCCGTACATCATTATGGCAACATAACGTCTTTAGACTAGTGTAGGCATAGGACGCTCGTAGAAGTTCTGTCTCATCTGTACAAATGGGTTAGGACCAAGGAAAATGATTCCTGCTCAATCCTCAAAGCAAATCCTTTTAGTGGCCAAACGTTCTTTGTCGGACGATCGCTTTCAACTGAAACGCTATTAAAGACAAACGATAGTTATATCAATAGACCAGAGCTTTTGAGCTGACGACAAAAGGCGACCTGATACGAAAGATGTTCGTTGAAAACGGTCAAATCGAAATATTCTCATTACGGCGCGTGCTGTAACTCAGTTATGCCGAGTCTAGTCCGTCGGTTCTTTCATCAACAAACCAATCCAATATACCCCAAAGCACAGCCAACAAATCTGCCAAAGCTAGATGACACTTAGTCCGATTTCCCCCGTGCTCCCGCCCCCGGCAACTGCCAGCGCTCATTGACACAATAGGGCGTTAGTGCGTCTCTTTACGAAAACCAAGAAAAACAAGCTTTTTGCCGATAGGACTACGACAGAGGGTCACCATACGTACACACACAACAAACGATGTAGCAGCAACGTTTGTTTATCGACTGCGACGCCACGTTCATACTTGGAGCTGTCTCTCCGCTTAATCTTCTCCAGGAACCGGTGGTCATGTCCTTCTCGGGGTTTTACGAGCGATAGTGACGAAGGGTTCGTATTCGATTTTGCTCCACATTTGTTGGTTTTTCAAAGGCATAGGAGATTTTTGTTTGGTTGATGTCGCTAAGCTGGGACGTCGTCGTTCTGCCATGTGCTATCACAATCAAGAAGTCAACGCTGTATATTAGCTATATGTCTTAAATGATTCTACAGCGGACTTCGTTAACACCAAAGCATGTCTTGCATGCTTTCCTCCGATAGGGTAGCCTTATATTTTAACTGACATGTGTATATATATGTATGGTTATCTTGTCGGATGAAGACACGCCTTGTTGTTAACGAAACCTGCTATAGAATCGTAGTAGCATTGAGACGTTTAGCCAATATATAGCGCTGACTCATTGATTTAACATTATATATATATTAAACCAATGCTGATTGTCTTTCTCCGCCACGAATTGCCGCTACTAAAAATGGCCTTTGACCCAAAACAAACGTAGGTAAAAGACATTTTAGAAAAGCGAGAAAAAGATGTTCAGTGAAATAAGTGTTGAGCAATATTTGATAGTTCACGAGGCATATTTACACTTGACACGCATACGTATAACAGCTTTTTTCGTCGTCTATTCTATACAAAGAGAAACCCTATCAGTTGGTGTTGATACGTAACCACGGCAATGCCGGGAACAAAGATCGTCGGAGTAACAATTGATTATGGTAATAGTATAAACCAACAAAAGAGTTACATAGACGACGAAAAAAACTACTATCGCGTTGGCGGTTGATGAACGAAAGCAGGCGTCGGTAAACAGTCGCGAAGGTACCCGAACCGGTAGCGGTAGACATCGATGGGGTAGTCGCAAACCAATGCGAGAGAAAAACAGAAGAAATTTCGATATCTACGTGCTGATTATTTAGTACTAGCGACCCGAAGATGATCTTTCGACCATTCAACAGATTTGTCTGCTGCATTGAATTGCCGAGTGAGCATATATGCAAATCAGCAGTCCCTATGCCTTCCCATGGACGAAAGCAGCCGCGCCAAAGCTGCAGCTCCACTGCGGTCGTTAAGGGGACTGAAACGTGCTAAGAACACGGCTATGACTACCATGAGTACCGATCATGTTGGTACGTTATAGTAGTCTCCATAGACTCTCACTGTCTGCGAGTTTATCGAAATTTGCATTAGTTAGTATAGGATTAGATATTTTATCTGATACTATTGTTACGTTGATTTAAGCGGAGCATAGCCGCAGCGCATCTTGAAAATCCAGTATA